CAACAAGTCTTTTTATTTCTATGTGTTGCATGCTTGTGCTGTTGCAGTTTAGCTTAAAGTTTAGTTTAAAACAAAGGCAAGGAGGAAAACATTACATGTACATTTATTTTTAACTCAACTTGAAGCTAAACTACAGCAACACAAGCAAAATAATAAAAAGACTTGTTGGACAAAATTATAAAAATAATTCAATTTAAGCATTCAAGAGACACAAATTCATGTTCAAGTAAAAGGAAAAACTAACATTAAAGTTTAAATTATGTGCTAAAATGTAGCAAATTGAAAAAAAACATGAGGGTCAAATAAATTATAAACATGAAGTAAAGTTCTCCTTTAAATTCATTCGTGCAGTTATTTATTCAGCCATTTTTACATTTCTAGTTTTAATTTTAATTWTGTCAGATTCGGTCCTCCATAGAATAACGCTTTTGAGACGCTTTGTCTACTCCAGGTAAAGAACGTTTACCAGACCAGCTTCTTGGCCTTTCTGGACTCTCTGGACCTCTCCAGATCCTCAGACCTTCCTCAGGTAGGTTGTCAGGGCGCTTTGATTGTTACAGTTTCCATCAGTTATCCCTCCCGGCTCTCTGTTGAACATGTCTGACAGATGTTGGCTGTTCACCGTCCTGCTGCTGCCTGTTTGTTCACACACTCGGTGTCAGAAAGCTGTGTACTCAGACGGGGGGGTTTATTGGCTGATGCAGATATGAAAACACAGAGACAACTGCACATATTTATTTTACTGTTGCATTGCCCCAGTAATGAACAGATGGTGTTTTACRTGTGAATAATGTTTGTCTGTAAAGCAGCTTAGATAAATTAAAGAACATTAAACTCATTCTAATTATGTTGCTCAGATTTATAATTTCTGTTAAGAGTTCATAGCTTTAATTTGTTCTAGAAATATATTTTATTCTTATCAAGTTACAGTTGTATTAATAAAAGGAATCATTTTCTGTCTGTACAARTGCAACAAGCTGTGGATTTCATCGTTTTTATTTTAGTTGACAACAATATTTCAAACGGTTTGATCTGTAAAAGTGGAGCTCAGTCAGTCAGTGTTGTTGCAGAGTGAGCAGACAGGTTTAAACACCATCTGTGCTGTGGTTCTGATCCCAGTTGACTGATGTGGACCAGCAGTACGAAGAACACTACCTGAGGAGCAGAGAGGTTGATGGACGCTTGTTTTTTGATGGAGATGAGACCGTTCTCRCTTCGAAAGCTGAGACGTAATCTCTCTTTATTACTTCCTGACTGCTTGCTSCTGATTTTTATTTTATTTTTAAGTAAGAGAGCATAAGGATAACTGTGTATCATTATTTGTATTTCAGGATACAAGTGGAGCAAACGCCAACAAAGAATCGGAATGATGAGGAGGAGGTGTTAATTCCTCCTCAGACTCCAATCAGGTGAGCAGCTTGTTCTCAGCACTTCTTCTTGTCTAAAAMAAAGTCATAAAGTGATATTAAGTTACGTATTTTAATATTTTCAGTGTCTACCTGAGATGTTTTAGCTGATGTCATAATAAGTTTAATAATCCTGTAATTAAAGATATTTTAACGAATTYGACACTTTTAAAAAATCATCAATCCACTCATTTTTAAGTTAAGCAATGATTTTTTGTTAAATGAAAAAAAAATGCAAGTGAATTTGTGTTGCACATAGACCATCAGCTGCACCGATTTTTAAAAATCTGCACACTAATAGGAAAAATCTGTTTCTACCATAAAATATGTGAAATGATCTAGAAGCTCCAAACGTTTCTTGTGTTTTGATKTATTTTTTCACACTGTGTTGTTTCTTCAGAGTTAAATGTCGCAATTCCTTTCGTCGTCACTTTATAGTTTTCTATTTGCGTTTCAGATCTGCCATGACGTCCATTCAGCAGCTGAGGGGAGAGCTCCCGTCCAGCGGGGACCAGCCTTCTACTAACCTGGCCACGTATTTCAAAGTGAGCCTCTTGAATCATTAYCAACAACTAAAAGTGTCGTCTAAGCTCACAGCTTGAATTTTWTTTATTTATTTTTCTCCCATGTGGTCAGAACTGCACAGTGGACCCGACGCAGGCCGTGCAGAAGCGTGTGGAGATGCTGGGACAGGTGTTCAGTCAGAAGTTTGGCGAGGCCGTTGGGCCAAGCTGTGTGGCTTATGGTCGACAGGTATGATCGACGACTCGAGGWCAAACAAAAATCCACATATTTCAYTCCTGAATGTAACCAAATTTAATTTTATCTTCAGAGATTTGCTCTTGGTGTGAGACTTTATTATAAAGTCATGGAGGCGATGCTGAATTCGGTAAAGCTGTTGCATTAAGTCAGAAGGGCAAATGAATTGTTCGGGGTGTTTATGCTAGCTTTTTTATATGTTTTCTAGGAAGAGAAGCGGCTGTCCGTACAAAATTTTAGGTATGTGCAGTCTTTGTTGTGTTGTTGTCTCAGCGTTTTGATACTTATGTAAACAATTGTTCCTGAACCAAGTGTTTTGATTCACTTTTCAGTAAACTCCTCAATGACTCCACTTTCCACACATCACTGCTGGCGTGTGCCTTGGAAGTTGTGATGGCAACATATGAAGGTGCTTCTTGTTATCCAAAGCAAATAACTTCATAGTTTCTCACAGCCCTGCGTTGTTCTTATTTACTCTTATTGTTGATGAAAATGTGCTACGAAAATATGTTTTGTCATTGTTATTACTTTTGTTTGTGCTACATTAGAGAGCAGCTTTAAAAATGGAGGTTACAGCAACGGAGGGAGCGACTATGCCGGAACAGACGTGTGTTTCCCCTGGATTCTGAACGTCTTCGGCCTGGCCGCCTTCGACTTCTACAAAGTGATCGAGAGCTTCATCAAGGCTGAACCCTCGCTGAGCAAAGACATCATCAAACACCTGGAGACCTGCGAGAACCTCATCATGGAGAGGATTGCTTGGAAGACGGTCAGTGTTCTCTCCTTCACACTGGTTTAATAAGAAGCAAACATTTTTCTTYATAATTTAATGTGCTAACCCACAAACATATAAACGATTGTTTTGACTGAACACAGTGGATACAAATAAAAGGACAGCACGTCTTAGCATAACACAAAAGTCCAAACGTTAAAAATAAGATGTTCTGCATCTAGCAGTACATTAAATTCTGTATTAGATTAAAGTGTCTGTGACATGCATATTCTTCAAATACAAAAAGTCAAAGAAAACATCTTTATATTTAGGAAAGTTGGAATAATACACACAATTTAACCCATTTTGTCCCATAACTGGGATATTTTCTTTTGAACTTGACTCAGCCAAAGTGAAACAGGAAGTGACAGCAAAGGGRAACTCTTTAACAAAGAAAACTCTCTGGTYTTTGTTTATTGAAACAATATTATTTGAACTCTGACTCTTMTTCATCTCTCTGAAAGTTATTCAAAATAATCTAAAGAAACATCRGATTCTTCTCTACAGTCTGGGCTGTTGTAGCAACRCTCWGTTCACATTCAGACATTCATCTTTGACATCACTTCCTGTTACTTCACAGGCAAATATCTCAACAACTGTTCATCTCAGCAACATGAAATTTCTTTTGCACTATTTTATCAATGTCCTCTTTCTGAAAATGCATTCATATATACAGTATTACAAAAATTTGACATCACAGTCACATTAATGAAACACTTACAATGAAGTTTATTTGTTTATCCAGAATCTTTTGCTACTTCTTGTTGGGTCCATCATTTAGACATCTAACTAAAGCTATGTGTGGTTACATACGTTGCGTTGCTCAATTCTATTGATATTCTAGAAAAACAGATAAATATGATCACTTTAAAGGACATTTTTGTGAAYAGCTGAGCTATTTTTAATATTCCCTTTATGCTATCTTTAGTTCTCAGTATATAGACATATTCAGCTGAGTGTATATATACATAACACCRCTATCTTCCCTTTTTATTTAGGTGTTGTAATAAATTTTAACTTAAGCGCCTCATATTCTCATAAAACTTAAAAATAACCTGTTTATTTTTGTTATAAGTTCACATAAGCTTGAAGGTAAAGCTTGAAACAAATTATATTTGCGTTTTGGTGTTTTCCAGATTTGAATAAGAGTGGGGGAAATTGTTTTCAGWCATTTTTCTATTTTCTGTTATATATTTCGCACAACTCGCATTAATGAGCTCCACTGTAGACTCTAATTATGCTGAAGAACGAACAGAATACACAACTTTTTTAACTTCTTTATGCTCAAAAAGATCACACATGAACTCAATAAGATCTCAGATTTAAAAAAAAGGAAAAACATGGATAATTTAGTTACATCAAAAAAGTTCAGATTCTTTTTGCACGAGGCTTCAGTTTTGAATAAAAATATATTTTTCCAGTAATAGAGGGAAATGATTTTTAGTACCTGTGACTGATCCCCCCTCTGGGAGCTTCTCTGTGCACCAGGCTGCTGGAGAAATAGTAGATGAGTGGATTGAGGCAGCAGTTGAAACTGGCGAGTGACATCACCACGGGGTGCACGGTCTTTGTCAGCTTTGCCAGGCCGCAGTGGGGCAGCAGTTTCATGTGTGTGAGGGTGTATCCCAACAGGTTGATGTGATAGGGCAAGAAGCAAAGCAGGTAGACGCCCAGCACCCAGTAAATGACTCGGAGGGTTTGTTTTCGCCGGTGGCCGCGGCAGCGTTGTCGGGTGTGGCGAAGCACGCTCAGGACTTTGCAGTAACTGTAGAGGAGCAATAAAGTAGGCAGCAGAAAGGAGCCCAGAACTAAAGCCAGCGCTGCCAGGATGAAGGCTCGGTGGCGCCTCGAGGTCGGGTCCAGCATGCAGGGCTGGTTTTGACGAGACGCAGCCAAACGTAGCAAAGGCAGGCTCACGCTGAGCCCCAGCACCAAGCACCAGATCCCCCCGCTTACCACCTGCGCAGCTCGCAGCCTGCGGAGCGTCGGCGCCAGAGGGTGCACCACAGCCAGGTAGCGATCCACAGCGATGCACACCAGGAAGAAGATGCCTCCGTACAAACTGATGTACTTGAGCATGAAGGTGATCTGGCAGAACGCTGCTCCCGGGGTCCAGTCGCCCGTCTTGGAAGGCCAAATTGCAGCTCTTTGGTGGTAGTAGTAGATCCTCATGGGTAGAGAGATGACAAAAACCAAGTCGGCTGAGGACAGACTGAGCATGTAAATAGCTGTGCTGTTCATGGTGCAGGATGATGAGCAGAGTCTGTGTAGAGCCAGGCCGTTGGTGGCCAGTCCCAGCAGGAAGATGATGCTGTAAGACACTTGGTAGAAGGTGAAGCGGTAGCTGGTGTCCACGGTGCAGTTAGAGATAAATGAGCCCGACTTTCCTGTCAGGTCTGTGTTATTCCACAGCTCCATGTTCCAAACAGGTTTCAACCTTGGGTACATTAAATCACTGTGGTGCACTCACGTCCAGAGCAGATCTGGTTGGTGGTAGTGATCATTCATCGATGGAAGGGACATATTCTGGATGGAACCAGAAAACCTGTGGCCATATAAAACTGATTAAAAGGTGACATTTTTATGAAATGTATATTTACTAGCTGTAACTGACACAGATGTTTTCTGCCAGTTAACATTTAAGCACAACTTTCTGTCATAAAACAAGTCAACATTTGATTTTATTACAATCAGCGTGAATAAAAGCAGCACCTGTAGTAAATACACATTAAATAAGTCGTAAAATCCTCCTTGGTTGAGATCAGATATTTTTTTTAATTAGAAACGTGGTAAGCAAATATGTAGTTAAACATCTTTTAAACAAGATTACATGCTTTTAAACAAGATTACATGTTTTTCCTGTAAGCTCCCTCATTAATGTTTGCTGTTAGTTATAATAACAGTTCTACTGTTTGGTCCATAAATCAGCTCCACCTTTTCTTGGCAAAAAGGTGACCATTGTCCTGAATCAGTGCCACACTTGCTCTTTTTTAAATCTATAAAATGACTCTAAATTACATTAAAATATACAGTGGCAATGTTAACGATAACAGAAGTAATTTATGAAAAACTTCCATTGTGCAATAAATATTCAGCATCYGACTGTTTAATTTAAAACATTTAAGCAAGATTAGCAAAGTTTGTCAGTTTTGTCTCTTTAGATTGTACATTAATATTTATTTCATAAATTTGTAATTGTTTCACTGATTTTAAAAAATATTCATTTAAATTTTTTGCCAACTCAAGTTAGTTCTTCATCCATTTTTAGGCACAGTTACTGCAGCTCTGAAGTACATTGAAACAGATAAAACTTGATAACTCACCAGTGTCAGGATTGGTCCTGGGATCATTTCTCCCCATCAGCTGGTGTTAAGCATCTTGCTGCAACTGATCGGAGATTGAGACGTTTCTCCACATATCRGAATCTCTTTCTCTCTTCCTCTTTCTTCTGCTCTACCCCGTCCTTCCATCATTACATAATGATAGTTTATTGCTACCTATAGTTCAATTTATTTATTTATTTATTTATTGATCATCAGAGCGTTTCAAACATTCTAGTCCCCAGGTTTTCTGAGGGACTAGACTTCCATATGAACTCAGTTTTAGTTACTCTTTTAGTAAAGTTTATATTACCTGATTAGCTTAATGTAGGGAGTTAATATTACAGCTTCAAGTGATTTGGAGTTGATCATTAACTATATTTACCATCACGCTGATACAGGAGTAGCAATAATTAACCTACAGAAGGCGCTGCAGTTTTACAGCTCTGCAGTATATCTTGCTAGACAAGGGCTCCTTTTATTCTTTTTTTAGGTCTAATATGAGAACATTAAACACGTTTTGAACCAGTCAGAAATAAAGGCCAAAGCTTATTCTCTATAAAATATTTTTATTGTATCTAACAAGCCTATTTGCTACATGAGCACAAGTTGCAATTCTGTTCTAAATGTTTTTTTTTTTTTTGCATACAAAATGTAGTTTGTATTTTTCAAAGATAATGTATGTAGATACAGTATGATATTAGTAGCTTATTTTCTCACAACTTTCAATAGGGCTTTTCTCATTAGGCTGTGAATGCTGGTATCTAGTTGTTGAAGATTCTCTTCATCTAAATCTAAGAACCACTTCGATGGCAAATAATTATTAAAAACTGATTCCAGTCAGCCTCTCTTCWCTTTCCAGTAGGTTTAATCATAAACACGTGAGCAGCTGCCAACGTGCACAACCTTACAGTGAACAAACTGTGTACACAAAAAAACCTCCTTAATTTTATAACCTCACTGTGTAAAATGCAAAAAGTGGTTGCTAGTAGCAAATACTCAGAGTTGATTGAAACTGCAACAGTTTTGAGTCACTGTCCAACAGTTGCAGTCCAGTGAGAATGCCTTTCACTAGGTAAACTATTATTTTRTGTTACTTGGGTCACATCTGCATCTCGCTCCTCGCTGTGTTTTGTAAAAGTGTTCTTTTCTCAGGAAGCGTGTTGTTGCTTGCATGCTGAGGTATCTTCGTCAGTGAAGGTGATGAGTCTGCTCTTGTTAGTCTGGACCCTTAGGCCAAGCCTCTGAACAGGAATGCAGTAATGCTCTGTTTTGTAGTGCAGTTTTTTCACAACAAATACWTGATGGATTCAGATTCCACTGTTTTCTATTTCACATGTGACAGCCTGACTTGGTGTACAGCTTTCTGTACATCAAGCTCTCTGTACATCAGCTTTCTGTACAAACTGTTAGTCTCTAGGCAGTGTTTGTGCTGTTCTTCTATCCTATGACCACACCTTTAAATGTGAATTTTAAAAGAAACCTGCATGAAAAACAACACTGTTCTTGTATCTGCATGGTTAGCATTTTCAGTCCAGATAAGTTGCACTCAGCGAGAGAAACTAATTGTATCTATCTTTTCAAATCACTTTATTTAGCCATTCAGGAAGTCACTTATTCTGAAACTCTAAAAATAAAAGTGWCACTTTTTTTTCACTGCCAGTATGGACATAAAATCTGTCACACCATTATGTTGCTCTTTGAAGCCCACAAATGTCTTGACTAAAAAATCATCATATATTACACCTTAAAGGTTTATAAAACAAGTCACAATATAATTTGTGCAAAAGTTAAACGTTTGTATCAGCACTTGCTGCCATTCCTTAACTAAGTGAAGAGTTCTCAAGGTGTGTACATTGCTTCCTTGATCGAGGGTTTCACATTGCAACACGCTTATTTTCATTCTTTTATTGACTTTGTAAGGATCGGTGTCTTTATTTCCAGTTCAAAGTCTCTGGTGTCTCGTAGGTTGGAGTGACTTTCAAAGCCACTCTTCCTCCAGCTCAGGTCTTTTATACAAGTCAAGTTTTGCCAGTCAAGTTACACAAGAGAAATCTGATCAAATTTCGGACTCGTCATACATTTGGGCTCTTGTGCCCTTCAGCGTAAGACTTTTTTCCTTTGTTTTCGGGCTGCTTTGTGTGCTGTCTGTGTATAGTCTGTCAAATAGTTTGTTGGTTCCGTTGTACCATACTGTAGTTTTTCGTTTGATAGAACTTTGGATTGTTTCTGAAGTGAAGTAGTAAATGACGGGATCAAAGCAGCAGTTTGTTACTGCTATGCAGAGAGCAATGGGGTAGATAGTTCTGACCACTTGTTCTACATAGCATTCCGTCAGGACGTTGGAGCGCACCAGGGCATAGAAAACGAGATTAAGGTTGTATGGAATGAAGCAAAAGCAGAAGATGAACAGATGTACGATGATCATCCTCAAGATCTTTGTCTTGTTGAGGCACCCCCCACGGCTGATGGTTTGGGGTTTCCTCAGGGTCCGTAGCACCATGACTGAGCAGAAAACATTGAGCAACAACGGAAGAATGAAGCCCACAGTCTCAATAAACACCACCACCCTAGACAGYTCAGCCTTCCACTGTTTTTTTGAGTAGTTTTCAAAGCAGTAATTTGTGGAAGTGTTGGTATTGTTTGGTGAGGTGGTGTCCAGAAGGAACCCTGTGGGTATACTTCCAGAGAGAACCATCACCCACACCATAAGGCAGGCCAGTTTGGCATTTCGTTTCGTCCGAATGCCGCTGGACCGGAACGGGTGAACAATGGCCAGGAATCGGTCAACGCTGATGCAGCTGAGGAAGAGGATGCTGCCGTACATGTTGGTGTAGAASAGCGCCACGGAAATCTTGCAGAGCACGCTTCCGAAAACCCAGTTCCGTTGGATGAAATAGGCGATTCGAAAYGGCAGACTGAGGACGAAGAGGGAGTCTGAGACRGCGAGGTTCATCATGTAAGTGGTGGTCTCGTTCCGAATCTTCAGCGTACAGCCAAAAATATACACAGCCACCGCATTGAAAACAAGTCCGACCACAAACACCAGGCTGAAGACCACGCTGTATAGAGGGTACTTGAAGTCATCATTCGTGTTGCAGCTGTTGTGTTGAGTGCTGTTGTTCATTTTTAGATCAGGCTGGAAAGTCTGAAGCCTCCATGAAACATTGAAAAATTCTTCACGCGGGTGTGTTTAACCAATCGGGTCAGGCATGGCTACCTGGAATGAAGTGGAGATTATTGCTCAGGTTTTCTTTGATCTCTAAAGATTATAAAGAAAMGAACACAAATTACCTTCTGTTTGCTTCTGAAGTCCGAGTCCAGTCGATTGGGTTTTGGCTTTCTGCAGTCGTCCTTCACAGAARAAATGTTTCCCCTCTTGGATAGAAGTGTCATGTAGTTCTCCTCAGCTCGGTGGTCACTCCAGTTTCTCTTCCCCTTTGGTTGTTCCCCTGTGTGTTCCTGCCGAAGCCCYGGGTGCACATTGTGTGTTACGCTGTTCCTCCTTTACTTTAAATCGGACACCTCACAGCTGCCTGCACATTTGAAACACACACAGAACTCTGATTAATGATGAAACRCTGGGTGGAGCCTGAACCGGGGCTGAAGTCTTACCTCTGATGCTTATGAAGAGTCATAACTCATGTAGTATGTTTGTTTTTTTAAGCGCAAATAGAGCTACTGTTGTTTCTATTTAAGCAYAAATCTGTTGGAGGCAGAACTCTTGAATAATTTAGTCTTTAAATCTGATATGGTCACAAAACACTGTTAAAATGTGAAATACAGTGTGTACTTATGACACAGCAGTGGCGTCAGCAGGTTGTAGCAAGCGTGACATAAAAAACGTACTAGTAACATGTTGGTACGTGCAGCTGACTTTTATTTTTTGTACTGTAGAGCAATAAATCACCAACGTCAAACTCCCTCCATTCCCCACTGYCCTTGCATACACAAACTCTTCCTTCTACAAATCTGTCTTCCTTACTTCAGTTTGCATGTTAATCTTCATCCACTTTAAACGGTTGATTAAATTCTGTTTAACTGGTCTTAAAACCAGCCGAGCATGTCTATAAGTTTTCCTCTTAACTCTCTGACGGGAGTGTCATTGTGTCAACATTAATTCAGGAACAGCTGTGTTATCAGGCAGTAGATAAGGTGTATCAGTTAGGTTTTGTTTTTTGTAGGGGAAGTTTTGTGTGTAAACCTCACCTGTAACCCTGTCCCTATCACGCTGATGGGTCATGGACTGTGTTGTACTGTAGATAAAAATTAAGAGTTTAAAAGTTGGCTAAAGATTTAGAGAAAAAGAAAACTGATGTATTACAAAAAATATAATTGTTCACCTTTTTGATCATTCTTTTTAATATAATGTTACTTGAAGGATTCATCAAAAAAAAAATCTTTATTCGATGCAATTTTGTTTACGACACAACAATGGACAAAATCAAGCTTGTGGTACTTTGTTCTCTATATAATTTTACATTAGCTTAAACAGAAATGATATCTAATAAACCCCAGCAGCCTCACCTGAGTGAAACCTTGGATCTCTGTAGACAGACCAATTTATTATATTAGATTAGAAATAAAACTAAAGTCTGACATGACATTGTTGGAATTATGTACGGTAAAACAAATCTTTTGTTGTCCTTACAATGACTCAAAAGTTGTACTCAAGTAGGAGTAGTACTACTTATACATATTTTTACTCAAGTAAAAGTAAAAAGTAGCCATCCAAGAAGTAAAACTGTATTTTGTAAAAAGTCTGCTTGAGTACTGAATAACAGATCATAACATCTGATTTTAAAATGTCATCAGAGTGCACAAAATAAGGAAAATTATGTTTTTTAAAGATTAAACATAAAGAGAATAATACAAATGACAAAAAATAAAAACAAATTCCAACAGAAGAAACACTTTTCCAAGTCTAATTTTATAATCAGAAAAAATAACATTTATACACTTTCCCAACCACTGTAAGTATTAATTTCATAGAAAAACAACATCAATTTGAAGCTTTTAGACTTTTGACCAGCTTTATAAATGTTACACATTAGTGACAGTGTGTAGCAGTTCTCAACCATGAACATGAAAATAAACACTGGTGTTTGTGTGTCTGCAGGGCTCCCCGCTGTTCGAGCTCCTGGAGCAGGAGAGTGGAGCAGCAGAGCAGGTGGAGGCCCCGGCCAGCTTCAGCCAGCCGCTGCAGCACAGCCACACAGCTGCTGACCTGTAAGTCCCCCTGCAGTCCCTCTGTCCTGATGCTGCAACCAAAGGACCACCTTAGACACTAAATTATTTTTTTGTAACTGTTGTGAAATGGTGTGAATCATAAAAATAACGATAATTGAGGAATAAAACATGACTCACTAGGAGMGTCCTGCTGAGTCGCTTAGAAACTCAGTGTTTGTCTTTTTGTTTCTGAAGTGGAAGTTTCACTCGTTAATCTTGATAACTGACTCATCCCAGTCGTTCTGCTGATGTGTGAGTAGATATCTGTCACCGATGAGGCCAGGCCAGCGCGTATTGCCTCCTGAGTCTCCTGCCAYGCCCTCCTCTCAGCCCGCCCCCCAGCCCTCCTCCCAGGTTGTCAGTCAAACTCCACGGCAGGCAAAATCCAACTCTCTGAGCCTCTTCTGTAAAAAATGTAAGATGATCAATGATTTTTTTTAGCATATTTCATTGATTTGATCTACTGATAACTGCAACTTCCCATTGATTTGAGCAGAAATGAGAACTAAATTTCACAGATATGTACAAGTGTTAAGGTTAAAGATATAAAAGAAGTTTTTTGCTACCTGGAAATGCAGGATATGAAAAAAGCACATTTTCTATTTTTAGCTGACATCTGTCATATTCTCTACTGAACCGTTCACTTTACAACCTTCCTCTTTGAATACAAAGGGATGTGGATGAATGTGAAAGCTGCTGCCTAACTTTGTTTCTTCCTCCTCTTTTTGTTTTGTGTAGTGTACCGTCTGGCCTATACGAGGCTAAAGTCCCTCTGCTCCTACCTGCTGTCCTCCCACCCTGAGCTGGAGCCCATAATATGGACTCTGTTCCAGCACACACTGCAGCACGAGTACGAGCTGATGAGAGACCATCACCTTGACCAGGTACCCCAACACTGTGATCATTCTCTTCCTGGCTCAGTGTGGCTCTCTTTCTTTTCAGTTTTCCCTTTTCTGTTTCCGTCTCATTGCCTCCTGTTGTTCTTGCAGTTGATGATGTCAGCCATGTACGCCATATGCAAAGTGAAGTGTGTCGACTTGCGTTTCAAGTCCATTGTTTCAGCTTATAAGAACATGCCCAACACCAACCAAGAGGTAATGCAGCCGGTTAAAACTTACATTATAAACTTTACTTTAAAGTTAGATTCTGAATAATTGATTAGATTATGAATCCTTCTGTTTCCTGTAGACATTTAAACATGTGTTGATCAAAGAAGGCCAGTATGACTCCATCATTGTCTTCTACAACCAAGTGTTCATGCAGAAACTAAAAACCAACATCCTGCAGTACGCATCTACCAGGGTGAGCTTTTCTTACACGTGTGATCCGTAATGTTTCCAAATATAATTTCTCATGGTTGCTGCTCTTCCTCTAGCCGCCGCCGCTCTCTCCCATCCCACAACTGCCTCGCAGCCCCTACAAGTTCCCCAACTCCCCCCTGCGTGTCCCTGGAAGCAACAACGTGTACATCTCTCCTATGAAGAGCTCGCGCATGTCCCCGGGCATGATGACGCCTCGCTCTCGGTCCGTCCCGCAAATTCTTTGTAGGATTTTTTTTTTTTAAATTTCCACAAACATCTTTTCATCTTATTGCATTTTATCTTTGCAGGATGCTGGTTTCCATCGGTGAATCGTTTGGGGTACGTGTTCATTTTAAACCATCGTATAGACAGAGATTTATTTTCTGCTCTCATTATTATTATTATTATTTTTTTGTATGTGTTTCCTCTCTGACCTGCAGCTGGCCAATCGCTTCCAGAGGATCAACCAGATGGTCAACAGCAGCGAGCGCGCCCACAAGAGGACTCTAGATTTCGGCCCGACTCCGAAGCCTCTGAAGAGGCTCCGATTCGACGTGGATGGGCAGGATGAAGCCGACGGCAGGTTGGTCACAGATAACGTAGTTTACCGCTTGACTGAATGACTTTAGCTAATAAAGATTGTTTTCTTCTAATGACAGCAAACCTGGAGGAGATTCTACACTGATACAGAAGCTCACAGAGATGAGTAAGTGGAAACAGCTTCATACAGTTGTAGTTGTCGTTAGCACAAATACTGTTAATTTAKAAAATACAATTAGTGCCGACGGTTTTAGAATGTCCTAACTTGACAATTGTTTTGTAACATCTTGTTAGTGATCATGATCGACTGCAGCTGGTTTTATTCTGATGGCTGATGATTTGTTTGACAAACACTTTGTGGAGTGACTGATACTGTTAAAATAGGCTCTTTACAGTTTAAATAGGTTCTACCATGTTCTGCTGAAGAGAGTTCTTAAACATCCAATTAGATTTATGTCAGAAGCTTGTTGACAGATGCAAAAAAAACTGTAGTTGTGTTGAAACTTAGTGAGTAAATTTGTGTTTGGTAGATTGTTTATTTGTTGTAACAATAAATCTTGTGCCCGGCATTTGATTGGCAGCAYCTGAAGGTACCAGAAGCTCAAACTAAGTGTAAATATCAACAGCGAAATAAACTGTTTGACAGAAGATTTGGAAATTTTTTTCAGTGCGCAACCCCCATACTCRGTTATCCCACAAATGCATGTTCCTTACAAATGTGACGGTATAAGATTTATTGCTAAGAAGCATTGTTACAACAAATAATCTACCAAATACAAATTTACTTACTTTCTGTGCTAAGGATATTTAAGCCTGTCTGTATTTTTGACCGTTCAGATTGGTGAAAATCCATCATAAATTCAAACTGTGCTCCCAATTCTTGTTTTTAAAAATCATTAAAGCTGTATGTCGTATAATCAATCCACCCTGAAGAAAGAACAATACCAAGAAATCATTTAAAGGGGCAATATCATGTAAAATCAACTTTTTTGAGTTTTATATCATGTTATGTTATACTCTC